GGTACATCAAGGGTATGCTGAAGAATCCGGACATAGCCCCAAGTGCAAGTATTAACCGGTGGATCGTCTCGATTCTCACATTTCATTTCACGCTGGTCCATGTCCCCGGTACAATGCACGGCCCCGACGGTCTCTCTCGACGCACAGCTCAACCCGGTGATGTCATCGAAGACGAGGTCGACGAAGAGTTCGACGATTGGATCGACCAGATGCATTCTTTCATTCACCAGATTCAGCCCCTCCCACCGGTCCCTTCGCTCGCCGTCTTCACCAGTGACAGAGCCGAGGACGGCTCAGATTTCAATAGGGAGGAGGATAGCTACGAGCTAGTGCCTCGATCGGAGCAAGCACAACTCGCTGATGCGAAGCTCGACGACGTGCTTGAATTTCATCGAACGTTAGCAAAGCCTGACGGCATCTCCGAAAGCGTTTACGAAGGATTCATCAAGTACTGCATGCAATTCTTCCTCGACAACGACACCCTCTGGCGCAAGGACAGTCACGGAGCACACAAGCTAGTCGTCAAGCCCGGCGATCGCCTTCGAATACTTCGAGAATGCCACGACCGCACCGCGCATCGAGGAATCTACGCAACCCGAGCCTTCGTCAACGAACGATTCTGGTGGCCGTTCCACTACGCCGACATCGCCTGGTTCGTTCGATCGTGCCATATCTGCCAGTCTCGACAAGTGCGTCAAATCCTCATTCCTCCAACCGTCGCAGTACCAGCCCCCATCTTTGCGAAAATTCACATCGACACAATGCACATGCCGGCTTCGGGCGGATACAAGTACTTGGTCCAAGGTAGATGCTCGCTCACGACTTACCCTGAGTTTCGAATGCTTCGAAAAGAGACAGCGAAGGCCCTCGCCGACTGGATCTTCGAAGACATCCTCTGTTGATGGGGCGCACTCAGTGAGATCGTCACCGACAACGGTACGGCGTTCATCAAGGCGGCCGATTACCTTTCGAAGAAGTACCACATCAACCATATTCGAATCAGTGGGTACAATTCGAGGGCGAACGGTCTCGTCGAATGTCCGCATTTCAGCACGCGACAAGCCTTGTTCAAGACAGCCGACGGAGATGAGAAGAAATGGTCCCAAGCTGCGTATTTTGTATTTTGGTCCGAGCGCATCACGACTCGACAACGCATGGGCTGCTCACCCTATTTCGCTGTTACGGGCACCCATCCGCTTATTCCTCTCGACATCGTCGAAGCTACGTATCTGCAACCACCACCGACTTCGGTCCTTTCGACGACCGATCTCATCGCCCGTAGGGCCATTGCGCTTCAGAAACGCGTCGAGCAAGTCACCGAACTCCACTCGAAGGTCTACGAAGCACGTCAGACTGCAGCAATTCACTTCGAGAAAGAGCACGAGCACTCAATCCAGGATTTCGACTTCAAGCGCGGAGCCCTAGTGCTCATACGCAACACGAAGATCGAGAAGTCCCTCAACCGCAAGATGCGCCCGCGATATCTAGGCCCCCTCATCGTTGTCTCGCGCAACAAGGGCGGCGCATACATCGTGTGCGAACTCGACGGTACAGTCCTCGATCGACCCATCGCAGCATTCCGCGTCATTCCGTACTTCGCGCGCAAATCCATACCAATTCCCGAAGATCTCGAAGATGTCTCGACCGAGCGTCTTCGAGAACTCGAACTATCAAATTCGCTAGGCGACGACAACGATGATGAAGTCGAAGAAGCTGAAGAACGCGACGAATAGAGGATCTTCCCTTTTATTACTTGTACAACACGATACGTACTTTCTTCTCTCCATTCCTGCTCTCACGTTATGCGATATGTTTGATCCACTCCTACGTTTTAGACCATCCCTTGTACGACTACCCTCGATTCAACTCGATAGTCGCGACATCGTTCGACATTCTACGAACGCTTCGATTCGACTGTTGCGCGGAGGCTCACCTTAGACAAGTCCTCCTAGGCTGTGATGACAAACTGAGCCTATATTTTCATTAAGTCCATTTTCCCTTGCTAAGAACATTTCGGTTTTTCCTTCTATGTCCTTCGATCATATTACGACTTACTTCGAACACCCTTATTTTCATTTCCTGTTTTTCTTAGTTCCCGCTAGGTTTCATCTAGGCCAAGGGCCGCATTGTCCATTCGACCATCTACGCAATGTTCTACGACTAGAAGACAACTACGATACAGGACGACCCGCGCCATCGCCTACTCATCGTCGACAGCCCCGCGCACGAAACCGATTCCGCCCTTTGCAAGCGCGGCCTTCTCCATCTTCTGGAGGTCGAGGTCCATGTCATGGAGGAGCGCTCGACGGTGCGCGATGTGAGCGCGCTCCTCGCGGATGACGCAGATGATCCCCCGAGATTCGTCGTCGAGGTCGAGCGCATCGAGGTCGTCCTGCTCGAGCCCCAGGCGGCTGGCCCCATCGAGAGGCCGTCGTAGAAGTCGGCGCAGAGGCTCGTCGACTCGGCGCTTCTTCGAACCACTCGCGTCCGCGACCGAAGGCCCAGGAGAGGCCGGCCGAACTACGAAGTCGTCAGCGAAGGCCTAGGACAAAAAGAAACGACTTACTGCGCTTCTTGGTGGTAGATCCCCCGCCGCGCATTTTCTTGGTCTTCCCAAGCACAGACACTTTGTCGAAGTAGCATCCCTGCTGGGACTGCGCGCACCTCTCACAGGTCGTAGCGTTCTCGGCCCACACGCAATCGACCGGGGCCGAGCGGTAGCCGGCGCAACGGTCACACTGTCGAAGATTTAGCATCGAACCGCTTTGACGGAGGGTCGAACGTACCTTCTGTCCGGCCTCGCGCTTCTCCATCGCCGCGGCGGCCATGTCGACCTCGGTCATCGCGAACGGACGTTCGACCGTCCGAGGAGTCTTCTACGAAAGAGTTTAGTCATCGAACAACGATAGAAGAAAACACTTACGATCGAAGGGTCGTCCGACAGTTCAGCGACCTCCTCGTCGACTCTAGCGCGCCCTTTCCCCTTATCGAGAAGCCCCTCGGCGGCCGCGATCCTCGCCAACTCCTCATCGGCGGCCTCTTGTGCGCGACGCTCGTCTTTGGCCTGCTTCCGACGGTCCTCTTCGTCCTTTCGACGCCGTTCGTCTTCGAGGCGGTGTTCCTCGGCGGCCTTCGCACGCTTCGCGGCCTCTTCGACGCGTCGTGCTTCCTCCTCGGCGAGGCGCTTCTGTTCTTCGAGGCGTCGTTCGACCTCGGCGTCGATGGTGGTCGCGAGCTCGGGCCAGTCCCCGCGCGCCCACTCGACCCACGACTCCGACGCCCGCTCGGCGAGCTGTTTGACGGCGGCGGCGACGCGCAACTCCGTCTCCTCGTCGCGGATGGCGCCCAGAGCCTTGCGATAGGCGAGCTGCTCGGAAACAAACGGTTAGTCGGGTTATGCAGATTACAAGCAACTTACGACGAGAGGCGACAAGTCTTGAGCCCACTCTTTGACCACATTGAGCGTGGCGTCGGCGGTCGGCGGAGCCTCGAGGACCACAAGCAGAGAGGCGAGGCGGCGGTTGACGAGCGAGGGAGTCGACGCAGGGGTAGCGGAACGAGCAGACATCGTGGAAGCAGCGAGTATACGAGAGAGGGCGACGAGGTAGCGACGAAGGAACGATGGGATGGGGAAAATGAGGCTAAGTCTACCCTGCTTATAACCCCTTTCCGACCAGCATTTAGCGCCGACCACGTGGCGTTCGAAGTCCACACGGGTTGCCAGGCCGCTTCGATCCGTTCACGACCATCGCGCTTCTCGCATCACGTGGAGGACCGAGGGCGGTCCAAATTTCAATAGGGAGGAGATGATAGGCGCCAAGCCCCTCTGGGCCCCGATTCACCTCTTTTCGGCACTCGCATCCCGCCCGGCACTTCGACTTAGTCTCCCAACACTTCGATTCCGCCTTCGACGCTCTTCGACACCTTCGACGGTGCGCGACGCTTACTCGAAGCTCGGCACGGTCTTCCCGATGCCTCGTGCGTAGATCTCGGAACGTCTTCCGCATTCGGCGAACAATAGGGCCACTTGACGCCGCTCGGCCAAGCGCACGCTTCGCTCCAAGCCACACCGAAGTAGCCGGTCTTTCCCGATTAGGTATCGAACCTCGCGGCATGCCTTCACGACGGCTACCGGTCCGAAGTGGCCATATGTTGCTCTTCATTTCCGCGTTCGGCATGATGTCACTCTACCAATGGACTTGGTATGTGCCTCTCGGTGAGGCAGGTTCTTGAGGAACAATGCAAAGCCCCTTGTACCCGTATGCCACTCTCGAATAGTCGTAGCATCCTGTGTAGTATAAAATCTGTCGTAGTTCTCCCCAAAAATACAGATCCGTTCCCCCCCTCGAGTTCAGAGCTCATAAGGCGAGTTCGCCCCGCGTCTAAGCTTTCAACTGCGTCACTTCGTCCCTCGCTGCGTAACTTCGAAACCTCGTCCACCGCGTTTACTCGTCGATACAGTCTCGACGAACCCTTCGACTTCGACGATTGTCGAAGAAACTGCGAACCGCGTCCTAGCTAAGTCCCCCCCCTTCGAGTCGTGTCCCTTCTCTCTACGATACATCGAAGAGCTCTGCCGAGCTTCGAGCGTCGCTAACTTTCCACAGCCTCCGAGTAGCTTCGACGACGTGTCGAAGCCACTTCGCACCTTCCCTAGCGTTCGTAACCTTTTCCGAAGGCGTTTCTCGTGTGCACTCGAACCGCGGGACACCTTGCTGCTAACTCCCCTCTCATTAGACTATAAGCCGTCTCTCTAGTCCCTTTAGGTCGCACCCAGGTTAGGGGTTAGGGTTTCGTAGGTCATATCAACGTCTCCTGCAACGATCCAGAAAGCAACGGGAATCAAGCTCCCTTCTTCATCTGTGATTAACAACCATGCCCTAATCATACTCCGCGGTCCGTTACTACCGAGGAAGGGCGCTACATGCCCATCCGACAAGTCCAGCACCCCTGCGGCCCGGCACTTCGATACACTGGCACTTCGAGATCCACATCTCGCCATGTCACTCCTGTTCCTTCCTGACCTGCCTCCCCAGGCACCCATATCCCCCAACCTGTCACCAGTACAGGTCAAGCATGAGGAGATCCTAATCTCCCTTGAAGAACTGAGGCAATCGCAGAGTCTGCAGTGACCCCTTAAGCGATCACCCAGCCCTTCTTGGGACCACGGTTGGAAGGAAACCCAAAGCCTGAGTCCAGCTTGGGCCAGCTTGTCATCAGCAATCCCATCCTCAACTCCAGTCCCTGTCATATGTCACCCCGCCACCAGACTTCCTCCGTCACCTCCACCACCATTGCTGTCGTGAGGCCACTCGAGCACTCGCTCCTTTCAAAGTTCGCCTGGAGGACAGTTACAACAGCCATCTTCACCCATGGGCAGTCCTCTGTCCCCCTCATTGCCGGTAATGTCCTCACCAGTGTTCCTCCCTGATAAGAACACCCTGAAACTCCTCCTCCCGCTCTAATACAATGGCAAGACCGTCATTGAGTGTGATAGGTTTCTGTCGCAACTTCACATCTACTGGCTGGTTAACATGTCGTTAACCACCATTGAACTTAAGGTGTAGGTTGTGCTAAGCCTGCTTGACAGTGATGCCTGCACCTGGGCCACTCCTTACTTTGCCCAGCTCGTATCAGTGCAACTCAGGGTTCAGGGAGTAATGACCTCCTTTGCAAATGAGGCAGCTTTTGTCATGGCTTCCAAAGCCCGCTTTGGCAACCTCAATGATGAAGCAGTGGCTCAGGTAGAGCTGGCCAAACTCTGTGCAGACAAGTCGGTTTGTGAAAAATGCACTGCTGCGGAGTTTTCCATGCTGTTCAAGGGTCTGGCAGACTGCTCCGGGTATGGGGACCTGAAGCTACGTGACAAGTACCTGAGCGGCATTCCCTCCCGCATCTACCGCAAAATTGAGCTTGAAACCTTCACCATGTGGGAAGACGCTGACAAGTGTGCCACCAAGGTCGAGCAGATCCTCAACATCAGCTAGGCCTGTTGGCCTGAGTTGAACAATTTCTTCCCAGCTTGAGGTCGAGGACGCAGCGGGGCACATGGTGGTGTGCCCCAGTCACACAGAGCTTCGGCCAGCATCAATGCAGCTGTCAGAAAAGGAAACTTCCCTGGTAGTTGCTTTGGCTGCGGGAAGCAAGGGTATCGACACTTCAAGTGCCCCAACTGTAAGGACAAACCTTACACAAAACGCGCCGACATGCGGGCTACGCTTGCCTCGGGCTCTACCCTGTCCCTTCACCCTCGGCAAGTGTAAGTACCACTTCAGCACCATCAGAGCTGGTGGACTTGATGGCACAGGTGAAGTTGATGCGCAAAGAGCTCGAGCACTATTGGGCCATGAAGGAGGAGGGTTTTTGATCTGGTCTGTGCTTTGTGCCGCATGCGTCGGGCCGTGAGTATCATGTAACAAATACGATGTATTGTCTTCTGCAATGGTGTACGAGTTAGACTAGGGGTCCCAGCACTTTCACATTCCAGTTCAACTCCAAAAAAAAGACGGCACAAGGACATAATCACTATGGTGGACAGCAGAGCCACCACAAAGTTTATCAACAAGCGATTCATTGTAAAGAATAAGATGCAGATGCAGAGGCTAAAAGAGCCCATTCTGCTCTATAATATCGATGACACCCTGAATAAGGACGGAAGCATCTTGAAAGTAGCTGTGCTATAGATGCAAATAGGAGAACACGTCAAGAAGACGGTGTTTATGGTCACAGACATCAGTCCGGAGGATGTGATTGTTGGGTTAGATTGGCTACGCAAGCACAACCCTGAAATCAATTGGGAGAAAGGCTCTCTCAAGTTATCACAATGCTCCAAAACATGCAGTGCTAGAAGAACTGGCCAGATGGAGCAAGCAGTGACTGCGCGTGATATGGGGGACAGGCCCACAGTGCGCAGGCATTCGCCGAAGTCCAAACGGTCGGTCATAGGTGCCTGCCGGAGTAAGATACTGCCAGACTTTGAACCCAAAGAAGATCCAGTAGAGGTCAAATGGGACGAAGCCAACTTAATCGAGGCCTGGAAGCAAGGCATTACGCTTCCCAGCGCTCCTCAGCTATTCGTTGCAGCAGGGCATATGTACTCCTAGCTGTTCACTGAGGAGCAAATCAAGAAAAAGGTCATCAAAACTGCCAAGGAGTCAGTACCCAAATAGTACCATGAGTTCCTGAATGTCTTTTCTAAAGAAGCATTGGAACGGCTACCTGAAAGAAAGCCATACAATCATGCGATCAAACTCATGCCCAGCTACTCAATGTTCCATCCAAAGGTATACCCCTTACCAAACAATGAGCAAGAGGAACTTGACAAGTTCCTAAAGAAGCAGCTGGTGAAGGGTTACATACAGGAATCAAAGTCGCCCATTTCATCCCCCTTCTTCTTCATCAAAAAGAAGGAAGGGACGCTTCAACCCGTGCAGGACTATCGCTGGTTGAACGTGATCACGGTCAAAAATTGCTACCCCTTGCCACTGATTGCCGAGATGGTGGATAAGCTCCATGGTGCCATGCTCTTCATGAAGTTCAACGTCCAATGGGGATACAATAATGTCCAGATCAAAGCCAGTGATAAATAGAAAGCTGCTTTTGTGACTAACCGGGGACTGTATGAACCCCTGGTGATGTTCTTTGGCCTCACCAACTCACCCGTGACCTTTCAGGCGATGATGTATGATATTTTCCATGATCTCATCATTGGCGGGAAAGTCCTCATGTACCTAGATGACATACTCATCTTCAACACCAATAAGGAGGAGCATGAAAAGATCACGCGCAAGGTCCTCCACTGCCTGTAGGACAATGATCTGTTCCTAAAGCCTGAGAAGTGTGAATGGGACATTCCCAAAGTTGACTACGTCAGCTATGTGTTTGGTGGCAATGAGGTAGCAATGGATCCTGCAAAGTTGAAAGGAATTAATGAGTGGCCAGTACCTCAGAACAAAAAAGATGTTCAGAAGTTCTGGGGGTTTTTCAACTTTTACCACCACTTTATTAAAGGCTTTGCTAAGATCTCACGACCACTCAACCGACTCACAGGAAACGACCCATGATATTGGGGCAAAGAAGAACAGTGCGCCTTTGATGAGCTCAAATGACTTTTTGTTATAACACCAGTCTTGGTATTGTATGACCCTAACCGAGAGACGCGCATCGAGGTTGATGCCTCGGGATACGCCACAGGTGACGTGTTGATGCAAAAGCAGGACAATGGCAAGTGGCACCCTGTTGCCTTCTGATCTCATGCTATGAATTCTGCCCAGCATAATTATGAGATCTACAATAAGGAGATGCTTGCGATCATTGAGGCACTAGACGATTAGTGTCGCGACTTAGGGTCAAGCGACAGGAGAAAACCAAACAAGGCGCTGGGGGCGTTTGACTTAGTTCTTACCAAAGCGATGGTGAGCGAGGCTCAAACCTAAAGCTAGGGACAAGAATGTATTAGTTAGTAAGTAAAGGAAGTAAGTACAGGAGAGCTTACTGACCTAGGGACAAGAGGTCAAAACTGAGGTCCCTAGGGCAGCAGAGGCCGGCTTATATACATGGGGAGATAAGGGCAGGCTGTGCGCGCTGGTCCATGCGCAGCATGCTGACACGGCCCCGGGGGCCGGTGAGTCAAAGCGGCTGTGTCAGCAGAGCCCGAGCTATGCCGTGTACTGCCGTCCTATCTAATCTGATCGTACAGTAGATAACAACGCGTCCATATCGGGTATGTAGTACAGAGGTCACGGGTTCGAGCCCGCGAAAAGGAAAAAATTAAAAAATGGCTAGACGCCATGCCAACTCGTGACATTACCCCTCCCTCAACGGCACATGACCTCATGCGAGGCGCCCTTGCCCATCTCCCACCCGGAGCGGCATCGTGCTTCAGTCAGCGGCGAAGGTATTGGCTGAAAGTTGAGACCATCAAAGACAGCAGCATTGAGTCGACGAGGGGCATTCGGATTCTTCTGGTGGAAGTCGGCTATGAGGGCCGGCACATTGGCAACGTTGCGCGCCGGTTCCCATGACGTATGCGAGTCGTCATAACCCTTCCACTTGACGAGGTACTGCAGTTGACGCCGGAAGATCCGCGAATCTTTGATCCGCTCAACCTCGTACTCCTCATTGCCCTCAACCTCGATCGCAGGCGGCTCCTCCGGCTCCCGGCCCGGGATATCGCTACATGTGTACTTGCTGAGCAAGGAGACATGGAATACCGGGTGCACCGGCACCGACTTCGGCAGGATTAATTCATAATCCAGATCTCCAAGCTTTCACCGCATGGCATAAGGTCCAAGGCACTTGGGACTGAGCTTCTTGCTCGGCTGTTTCAGCTTAAGGTTTCGGGCATCAAGCCAGACCTTGTCCCCCAGCGCGAAGACTGGTGCCTCCTGCACGTGCTTATCATAGTACACTTTCATGCGCTCGGCTGACAGCTCGAGCGCAGAGCGCGTGTCATCGCGAATCTCCTTCAGGATCTTAAGCCAATCTGCGGCAGCGGGCATTGCGGACATTGGATTGATCCGAACTTGGATCTCAGGATGGTATCCTTGATGCAGGTAGAAAGGGGAGTGCCCGGTTGCGGAGTGAACTCAGTTGTTCAGCGCGAACTCCGCGAGCGGCAACTGCTTCGCCCAATCATCCTGCCTGTGGCTTGTGAAAGCACGCAGGTACTGCTCGATCTCCTGATTCCAGCGCTCAGTCTGGCCGTCTGTCTGAGGATGAAACGCTGTAGACAGTGCCGGCTCGATCCCTAGTCCCTTGTACACCGCATGGAGATATTTTGAAGCGAACTGGGGACCTCGGTCTGATATGACCTTGGCCGGGGCCCCATGATGCTTGAACACATCGCGGATGTACAGGTCTGCCGCACCTTCTGCCATCAGGGTCTCATGACAGGCCGAGAAGTGGACCTGCTTGGTAAAGCAGTCGGCGGTGACCAGGATCGAGTCGAATCCATCAGACTTTGGCAAGCCGATGATCATATCAGTCGTGATGATCTGCCATGGGCGCTCGGGGATCTCGTTTGGCTTCAGCGGACCCTGGGGCTTGGCTGGGAATGTCTTGGTACGGTTGCACATGTCGCAGGTGCTTACGTACTCATTGACAAACTTGGACATTCCAGGCCACCAGTAATTCTGTGATACGAGCTCCAGAGTTTTGGCGCGACCGCCATGACCGGCGATCGGCGAGTCGTGGTGGATCTTGACTATATCCCGCCGGAGCTCCGCATTCTTTGGAACATACACGCACCCACGGAACAGCAGGAGCCCTTGTTCGGCATTCCACTCCTCAAAACCCCTTTGCAGCCGGGGCGGCCCGAGGTCCTGCACCTTTTCAAGCGCCTCGGCCACCTCCCGATCCTTCTCCGAACATTCCCTGATGCGCTTCAGAAGCGACTGATCGGCCGTCACCGAGGCATGACCGCGCCTGGCGGAGGCGATGCAGAAGCACTCTGGTTTGAGAACCACCTGATTGGTGTTATTGTCCTCATCGCTGATTTGATGGTCGGATTGGCGGGAGAGGGCATCAGCCTTTCCATTCGACGTTCCGGCTTTGTGCGTGATGCGGAAGTCGAAGCGAGCCAGGAACAGCGACCATCGTGCTTGACGACACGTGAGATGCTGGGATGTACGCCAGTACTCAAGGTTCTTATGATCGGTTACGATCTCGAACTGATTGGGTAACCCCTCAAGATAGTGGTGCCAATCGTCTAGCGCCTCAATAATCGCGAGCATCTCCTTATCGTAGATCTCGTAGTTACGCTGGGCAGGGTCCATAGCATGAGATTTGAAGGCGATAGGGTGCCATTTGCCATCATCCTGCTTCTGCATCAACACGCCGCCGGTGGCGTAGCCTGAGGCATCAACCTCAATGCGCGTTTCTCGGTTAGGATCGTACAGCGCTAGGACTGGAGTCGTCGCGAAGAGCCGCTTGAGCTCATCGAAGGCATGTTGTTCCTCTTCGCCCCAATGCCATGGGTCATTCCCTGTGAGCCGGTCGAGTGGTCGCGAGATCTTAGCAAAGTCCTTAATGAAGCGGCGGTAGAAGTTGGAGAACCCTCGGAACTTCTGAACGTCTTTCTTGTTCCAGGGTACCGGCCACTCATTAATTCCCTTTAGCTTTGCGGGATCCATCGCTACCTCATTGCCACCGAACACATAGCCGACGTAGTCGACCTTGGGAACATCCCATTCGCACTTCTCAGGCTTCAGGAATAGGTCGTTATCCTAAAGGCGACGAAGAACCTCGCGCGTGACCTTCTCGTGCTCCTCCTTGTTGGTAGAGAAGATGAGGATGTCATCCAAGTACACGAGGATCTTGCCACCAACGATGAGGTCATGGAAGATCTCGTTCATCATTGCCTGGAAAGTGGCGGAGGAGTGGGTGAGGCCGAAGAACATCACCAGGGGTTCATACAGCCCCCGGTTAGTTACGAAGGCAGCTTTCCATTCGTCACCGGCTTTGATCCGAACATTGTTATAGCCCCATCTAACATCGAACTTGGTGAAGAGCGTGGCTCCGCGCAGCTTATCTACCATCTCGGCAATCAGCGGCAGCGGATAGCGATTTTTGACGGTGATCGCGTTTAACTGGCGGTAGTCCTGCACGGGTCGAAGTATCCCTTCTTTCTTTTTGATGAAGAAGAAAGGGGACGAGATGGGCGATTTCGACTCCCGTATGTAGCCCTTCGCTAGTTGCTCCTCAAGGAACTTGTCAAGCTCCTCTTGCTCGTTGTTTGACAGGGGGTACACCTTCGAATGGAATGTCGAATAGCCGGGCACGAGTTCGATCGCATGGTCGTACGGCTTCCTTTTGGGTAACCGCTCTGATGCTTCCTTCGAGAAGACCTTCAGAAACTCGTGGTACTGTTTAGGTACCGACTCCTCAGCGGTCTTAACGACCTTCTTTTTGATCTCCTCCTCAGCGAACAGCTGGGAGTACGTATGTCCTGCTGCGACAAACAGCTGAGGAGCGCCAGGAAGCGTGATGCCTTGCTCCCAGGCTTCGATCAAATCGGCCTCATCCCACTCTACCTCCACCGGATCTTCTTTGGGTTCGAAGTCCGGGAGTACCTTACTCCGGCAGGCACCTATGACTGTCCGTTTGGACTTCAGCGAACGCCTGCGTGCCGTGGGCCTGACCCCCGTATCACGCGCAGTCGCTGCTTGCTCCATTCGGTCAGTCTTCCTGGCACTGCACGTTTCAGGACATCGTGATAATTTGAGGGAGCCTTTCTCCCAATCGATCTCGGGGTTGTGCTCGCGTAGCCAATCCAACCCAACGATCACATCCTCTGGACCGATGTCCGTGACCGTGAACACTGTCTTCTCGATGTGTTCTCCTATGTGCATCTGTAGCACTGCTACTTCCGAGATGCTTCCATCTTTGTTGAGGGTGCCGTCGATATTGTACAGCGGAATTGGGTCCTTCAACTTCCGCGTCTGCATCTTGTTTTCGATAACGAATCGCTTGTTGATAAACTTTGTGGTGGCTCCGCTGTCCACCATAGCGATTATGTCCTTGTGCCGTCTTTTCCCTTGGAGTCGAACTGGGATGTGAAAGTGCTGGGACCCCTGGTCCAACTCATACACTATTGCAGTCGACAATACATCATATTTATTACAGGATATACGCGGCCCGATGCGTGCGACACGAAGCGCGGACCGGATCAAAAACCCTCCTCCTTCATCGCCCGATAGTGCTCGAGCTCCTCGCGCATCGACTTCACCTGTGCCATTAAGACCGCCAGCTCCGATTGCTCGGACTTCGCTGAAGCGGCACTTATACTTGCCGAGGGTGATGTCATGACAGGGGCGCTTGTCGCAGCCTGGGTGGATCCCGAGGCAACCATAGCCCGCGCGTCGGCACGTTTCGTGTAAGGCTTGTCCTTACAATTGGGGCACTCGAAATGTCGGTACCCTTGCTTCCCACAGCTGAAGCATGTGCCGGAGAAGTTGCCTTTTCCGACGGCCGCGTTGATGCTGGCCGAAGCTGCGTGAGATTGGGGTGCACCACCACGTGCCCCTCCGCGTCCTCGACCCCGCGTCGAGAAGAAGTTGTTCAGCTCGGGCCAACGGGCCCGGCTGATGTCGAGGATCTGCTCGACCTCAGTGGCGCGCTTCTCAGCTGCTTACCACGTGGTGAAGCTCGATCTTGCGGTAGACGCGGGAGGGGATGCCGCTCAGGTACTTGTCGTGTAGCTCCAGGTCCCCATACCCAGAGCGATCCGCCGGACCCTTGAATAGCGCGGAGAACTCCACCGCAGTGCGTTTTTCACGGACCGATTTGTCCGCGCAGAGCTTCGCCAGCTCTACTTGTGCTGCCGCCTCATTGTCGAGATTTCCGAAGCGGGCCCTGAAGGCGGTGGCAAAGGCCGCTTCGTTCGCGAATGGGGTCGTGGCCCCTTGCACTCCTATCTGCACCGACACGAGCTGGGCGAAGTAAGGAGTGGCCCAGGCACGAGCGTCTCCATCGAGCAAGCTTAGTGCGACCTGTACCTTAAGCTCAATGGTGGTCAACGATGTGTTGATCAGCCAGTAGATGCGCAGCTGTGATAGGAACCGGTTGCACTCGATGACGTTTTGCCGTCGTATTGGAGTGGGAGGAGAAGCTTCAAAGTCTCCTTGTCGGGGGCAGCTGCGGGGGATGACATTATCGGCGTCAGGGGGGACGGAGGACGCTGCGGGGGCGGAGGCGGCTGTGGTGGCCTTCCGCTGGTCGAACTTCAAGAGGAGCGAGTGCTCGAGCGGCCTCTCGGCGGAGTTGGCGGTGAAGGCGCCGAAGAAAGTTCGGGGGAGGGGTTACGTACGTCAGGGACTGCTGACGTGGGGGCGAGCGCTGTCGGCGAGGCGGGCCGAGCAGGATCCGTGGACTCGGACTCCGAGACTCCTTCTTCACTGTCACCCTCCTCAGGCTCAGGCTCTGGCGCAGGGTCTGGAGGGAGATCTCCTCGCGTTTGACCTGGATCGACGACAGTTTGAGGGAGGCAGGAGCTGGGGGAGACAGGGCAAGAGTGCTGCAAGGTGGATCGAGATGCAAGGGTGCTTTGAGGACCGAGCAGATGTTGCGCTCGTCGGATCGCCTTGTAACGAGGGTAATCTTCCTCGATCGATCGGGGTGTCCGATTTGGGCACGGCTGCTGCTCGCAACGGTAGAGGATAGTCTCAGGGCCGTCTGGAATGTAGACGTTGATGAGATCCTGAGAGTCGAATGCATGGATCTGGTCTTGACAGGCAGCCACGATGGATGGAGAGAGGACGGGAAGGTACGCGTACTACAAAGGCCGTGCTACGCTAGCTTACGCTACGGTGCCCGAGAAGACACTAGGGTTCGCAGTTCATGTGGGGCCCAGTACTGCTTTTGACTATTATGCAGCAGGAACCTAAGCCACGCGTCCGTGAGGACAAGTATCGCCCACTAAAGTGCAGATACCGAAGAGTTTGTCCCTTAAGTGGTGGCGATGTATCGTATGCTATCTACGTATCGTAGGGTACAGTAGGGGTGCGCACCACCCGACCTATAGGAAGTGAGAAAGTGAGTGTGTTCCGGTGAATGCCGGCAGCGGTGAGGAGTTTCGACCTAATGTCGTGACTTAGGGTCAAGCGACAGGAGAAAACCAAACAAGGCGCTGGGGGCGTTCGACTTAGTTCTTACCGAAGCGATGGTGAGCGAGGCTCAAACCTAAGGCTAGGGACAAGAATGTATTAGTTAGTAAGTAAAGGAAGTAAGTACAGGAGAGCTTACTGATCTAGGGACAAGAGGTCGAAACTGAGGTCCCTAGGGCAGCAGAGGCCGGCTTATATACATGGGGAGATAAGGGCAGGCTGTGCGCGCTGGTCTGTGCGCAGCTGGTCCGTGCACAGCATGCTGACATGGCCCCGGGGGCCGGTGAGTTAGAGAGGCTGTGTCAGCGGAGCACAAGCTATGCCGTGCACTGCCGCCCCATCTAATCTAATCATACAGTAGATAGCGACGAGTCCATATCGGGTATGTAGTACAGAGGTTGCGGGTTCGAGCCCGCGAAAAGGAAAAAATTAAAAAACGGCTAGACGCCGTGTCAACTCGTGACAGAGTGCTAGAATCAGGAGATCAAGCAGTATGCTTTCACAAGCTACAGACAGGATGATTGGGCAAGGCAGTTGCTGCTTACAGAGTTTGCACTGAACAACTGAGTTCACTCTGCAACCAGGCACTCCCCTTTTTTCCTGCATCAAGGGTACCATCCTGAGATTCAGGTTCAGATCAATCCAATGTCTGCAATGCCTGCAGCTGCTGATCAGCTTAAGATCCTGAAAAAGATCAGGGACGATATGCGTATCAAAAGACAACGCAGAGAGCAGTTGCATAAGACTAGCACTGAGGGACTGAATGCCACAAGTGGGGCTGAAGTCGAAGTGGGTCACAGAAGTGTGGATTAAAGGGTCACTACAAAGCTCTTTATATACATGAGCAGGGGAAAGCATTCCTATAGCAGAACAATAGAGGAAAGAACAATAGAGTCCAAAAGTAGAACAAGGGCCACTTGGCCACAGGAACAATGGAACAAAAGAAGTGTGGCTGGAGCTGTGCTCCGGTCTGATTGCTCCGCAATTGATACAACCATGTGGTCACATGGTGTTGTGGCTCCCGCCACCAGGGGATCGTCCTAGGCCAACCAGAAGACTGTGACAGAGCACATTGTGACATAGGTTGTCTGTGCCTGCCCACTCGCTTTGCCCCACTGCCCCTACCCCTTGATGCTGCCACATCCCTACCCATGGGCCTCTGGAAGACTGTGCACCCCCAAAAGTGGACCACACACCTCCCTGCTGTGCTCCTTAGTGCATCCATTATTGGATGGACACTTATGGGACTACAGTTGGGTTCAATTTGCAAACCCCATCATTGTGTATGGAATGGGCATGCCCTGACTCCCCAAGCCTCTGGGATTTAGGGGTCCACATTTCATGTCCATTGGGCCATTTTTGCGCCCACCAGCTCAAAAGCCAAGTAGTGGGTGCCTATGGTTTCAGCACACCTAATTCTACCCAACAGGTTTTTGAAACCCTGTTGTGTTTTACAAAATGGGTACACCATGACTCACCTAGCCTGTGGGATTCAGCAAGTATATGTTTCATGACAATTGGCCAAGGTTTGCTCTCACCAGCTCTAAAACTATGAAAACCGAGAGGTGGGCACTTACCATTCTGGCACACCTAATCCATACTGGTCTTCTGGGGCGCCTAATTGTACTGAGCACCTAAGTGCACAGTGAGCACCTAAATGCACAGTGAGCAGCAATGACTTAGAAGTCTGGCTATTGGTAGTGTTATGCCTGTAATTACAATAGCATTTGCTTATGAATAATATAATACTTTCTTGTCAGCAATGGAAGAAGTTTCTTATTACCATTAGAGTAGTTTCTTACTATCATTAAAGCACTTTCTTATCAACATTAGAGTAATCTCTTACCATGATAAGAGTGGCTTCATATGGTCATTAGTATTACTTCATGTGATATCAAAGCATGTGTTTGTAGTTAATGCTAGCCTTTTGTTTGTTTATTACAATAAAATAAATAATACAGTGTTATACTTATTACTATAGCATGTAAAAGCTTTTTAGAGACAAAACTCTTTTTTAGTACAATAGACCCTTTATGCATAGAATGACTACAGTTTCTTTTTAATAGCTTTTGAATGGAATAATACTTGATGTTGTATGTATTATCATCATGGAGAACATGAGACGCGGCTGATGGCGGGGTCCTGCCGGAATTGGCGAGCACGAGTGCACAGCCAAAAATTTGCCGAATGTCCAGACATTTTGGGGACTGAGAATGTGTTATAAGACTTATTATAATAAGTAGTTTATAATACTGTTTGACTTTCATTGTTAGCATGTATTAAAGTTTCACCTTATGCAGTTGCAATCCAACTTGCTTTATATGCTGTGATCAACTTTTTATATTATGTTTGAAGACTTAGATCACTGATCGAGTGTGTGAGTATAAACATTATCATGAACAAAGAACAATTCTTTGCAATTTGGATGTTTACCATATCACAACATTATATATTCAATGTTATTATAATTGTTAGGAAACATTTCTTTGTAGATATCAAAGATTTTTGAACTGAATAAAGTAAATCATGGAACAGTTAGCTAAGAGTGCTCATTACTAACTGGAATATATAAAACAATGTATAAAGTGACTATCATATATAACAGCACTGGTAGTCAAGGCCAATTCCTAGGATCTTATGCAAACTATTTGATCTTATATATTGTGAATGTAACATACAAGCAACACATCAAAGTGTTTGAAACATTGTCCAGATGCCAATATAACAACAAAAAATCATTCAAAACATAAGCATACTTCAATGAATAACATCAAGCATTACAAGTGCCCACCAGCAGCCCACAAACCATTTATTTACATGTGTTGACACAAGTCGTGTGATGGCAGTAAGTATGATTTCAAACTCAGATAGCTTGTGTTAGCCACAGCATACAATCACTGCTTATCAGTATTTGAATACTGTGGGAGCAACCTTCCTCATTGAGCTCAACACCAAGTGTTACATAGAATTCCAATATAAGAATGATTCTTTGTACCTCAGAAATTGTAACAGCCTGTGCTTATAGCCAATAGAGCAGATGCTTATGCTTATTTGAATACATCCTTACAGCAAGCATAGTATACACCCTTATAGTCAATAGAGCAGATTCTAATGGTTATTGAACTGATTCTAATGGGGATTACAGTGATTTGTAACATTATTAGCATACTTCCTTATAATTATTAAGTAGATTCTAATGGCCCACATAATGCCTAATACACACACATTCTTATGATGATCACAGTGTGTTGTTATATATAATAGGTTCTTATGGTCATTACAGCAAGTTGTTATGATCTTTACAGTACTTTGTTACTATCATAAAAGCAACTTTATAGGGTTATTAGAACACTTTATAATGATCATTAGAACCAGTTCTTATATCCATTACAATACTTATAATGGTCAATACAAACACTTTCTTATAGTCATTACAAATACTTTGTTATGTCATTACAGTAAATTGTTACAGTTATACTTACCACACACAATAAGGTTGATTCAATTCAAGAGCTACAAAACAAATAAAAAATTCCACATAAGGAAATTGCCTTATATGGTAGAGACCAAAGTCACAGAACATCATTCTCTCAGCATGACAAAATTTGTTGCAACACTTGTACTTAATTACTTAAGCCTCAAAATGCAAAATACAGATTTGAATGTGATGCATAAAGCAAGTTTGGTGTAAATAAATGAATAGTTGTACACTTGATAGATTCAGTTGATATTTTTGGGAGTTATAGGCAACAATAGATTAACCCCAAACCAATAGAGTGCAGTAAGCCACTTTCATAAAAAGAAATTGCTTTATATAATAGTTGTAGAGCACCTTTTCAGGGGTAGGACAACAGTGATTTTGGTGTGTACACTTACTTACTTAGTTTACAAAATGGAAAACAAAATTTGAACAGAACACATACAGTAAATATGTTGCTTCTATTGAGTATGCTCCTGTTATCAATAATGGGGATTCTAATCATGAATCTCTAATATGATCAAACTATGTGCTTGTAATGCAGTAAAAACATAGTTCATCATGATAAACAAACAACTATAAAATAATCAAATTAATGCTTGATTAACAGCTGATAAAACTGACTGATCAGATCAATATCAAATCAGGCAACTGATAAGATGATCTTTTGTTTGGTTGTTTGGCCAAGTCATGTTAGCTAGGTTTGAATTCCACTTTCTAATGGATTTTGTTACTGGTAACAAGCAGCTTTAATGTGATTAAAGTGGACATAACAAGCTTTGTATACAAAACCTACCCCTAACCCCACATTATGGGCTCTTTTTCTTATCACTTTGTATTGATTGATGGGTTCCCACACTTATGGTGCAATTGATCATTACATCCTGGCTCTACATAAGACTCATCCTTCATACCTCAGGAATTGTAATACACATAAAGTGTTTATTTACCTAGTTTGTGTTATTCCACTGACTCATTAAAGGTGTTATCTGATGCTCTCCACATAGTTCAACTTATTGTCTGTCAGAATTTGACTGCACAACACCTGCATGAAAAGAACAACACAACCAGAAATTGAACCCAAAACCTACCAGAGATGCACTGGGTGCTCTACCACTAAGCTATTGGACCTTGGTTAATATGGAATTATGAAATCTCATATACATTACTTCAAGGGTATAAACATGATCTATATTATAGATTCAAAGGTTCTTAACTGTCTCATATGTGTCAGAGCACACATTTGACATTGTCATGGTCAATCCTCCACTATATCTAACCCTTGCTGATGCTTTTTAGCAGGCATTTGAGCACTGTTAGGCCCATGCAATAGCAAGTGCCTCTGCACACCTTCTTAAATAATCACTACCCGCCAATGCACAATCAGTCTCTGCTATTAAGCTGCTTAATCTACACAACAACCCTGGTCCTTCTTGTACTATTGTCTCTGCCCCTGTTACATTGTCTTCTCACATTCCTTCTACTAATACTCACCTTAAGTACTGTGTCACTATAAGTGATCATATCCAGTTCCATAAACACCATATGTGATCCAATGTAAGCTCTGTCATTATCTGATGCATACACAACCTTCATTACAGTAAACTTTGTCCTTCTTATGTGCTAACTACTTCAACTCATGTTCCACAGCAGGTTACAGCACAGAAGTCTCCCAAAAAATAGTATTTTACTTACCTACACTTTGCATGTTATACATACCTTAGTCACCTATAATGAAGTACATCCCATTTAATTTGATATATATTGGAGCAACAAGCAAACAGGTCAGTGACGCAATTGTCCCTTATGGCCATTGCTTTGCCTGTGGACAAACATGTTCACCACACCATTGCGCCATTGTTTAAACACATGCTTGCCATCTGTTTCTCTGTTGCTTCAACAGCTCAGTTATATATGACTTCCTCTTTTCTTGCTATTGTTTCACACAGATCAACACATACATTTTATATATGTAGAAGAAAGTATCAAAGCACATTACAAGTGAATCCTTATTTCCTAACACACTGGCAACCACATTTCAGTATACTTGAAACATCTATATCACATATCATCAGTAGGTGTAAAGTTTGTTGAAGTTTATTAATCAAGTCAGTCAGACTACTACTGGAAGGGGTTTTTATGCCAGTTACACCTCATATTACCATGCAGAATTTACTTGGCCTTGTGGTTGATCTTGGGTGGATGTTGGTGATTTTCAACTGTAGTAGCAGCTTCTGCCTCCACATTCCACCACTATCATAGTCTGAGTCAAGTATCAACAAGTATGCAGAAGTACCATCTATACAATGCTGGAGAATAGGAACCTTACTGTGCTGCTTGGCCTTAAGCACAGCATTCTTCTTTGCTGTCATATCAAACACTGCTTGCTTGGGCACCTTAGTATGAGAATAGACAAGAGGTATGTCAACCAGACAACAGAAATTCAAAATACGACTTATTAATTCATTTGCAGGCTTAGTTGCAGTAACTGCTTTTTTGGCACAATGGTGAGGCTGCAATATAATGTCCATGTATGACATAAGTCTCTGCTATACATGGATGCATCAAATAATAATACATAGAAGAAACACAAAGACTTACCTTTCCAAGAACAGGTGCAGGTAAGCCTATAACATTGTTTTTTTTTTCATATGCATGACCCCACATACTGATGCACTGCATAGAACATGACACAAGCCAGCAGCAGAATCTAATACAGGAAGGTGAACATGACTACTTATAAGTAGTGTCAATTACAATTTCGCAAGTGGAGTCAATAATAATCACACAAATAATGTGTCCTCTACACCCATAGTGTTATTCCCGCTATCATTGTTGAGCCACTCCTATGCATGCTGCCTGCATGCAGAACCTTCTGGTTTGTGAGAATGCTCCATACTAGTATGTACATTGTTGATCATGTTGTTAAATTTTATGACATGTGCTGTCACCTCTGTACAATGCCACCTGGCAGCTGCTCTTTGTTTGTTTGTTAGGTTTGGGGCTTATAATGATGTCTGTCGTGGGTTCAGGGCTTGCAATGGTGTCTGTCATGGGTGTGGGCACCACTGATAGCAACACCCACATATGTGGACCCAAAACCTATCAAAACATGAGAAACAAAAATGTAAGATTGAACACTTATTTATACCTGATCTGACTGATCTTCCTTTGCTCCAACAATTGTATGCTGCATCATGGATCTCAGCGCAACATTGCTCTCATACAGAGCCCATCTTTGTGTTGCATAGTTTCCTCTGACATCTGTGCCATTGGGCATGTAGTGTCATATGTAAAATACTCACTGTACAGCCATCCATACGCATGATCTCCCCATTGTTAATCCTGCACTCCCTCACTCTTTATTATTTATGCCCGCTTGCTGAATGTTTGGAGTGCCTGCTGTTGACAGCGCGTGCTCTGGAAGCAGGTTGTTGTTTGAGTTTTGCATCTTGATAACGATTCATAGTATACTGCAGGTAAGCATTGCTGAAATGAAGAGCAAGAATTATGTTGCTACTTCTGGATGAATAGTCTGACCTTGTTTTGGGGTCCATTGCTTAATTGAGCAATGGACATTCAATAGTACTTATCAAGCACACTGCACGCCAGCACTCTCACATTAACATAAGGTGCATTACAACATTTTTATTCTAGAGGTAATTGTTTTACATAACATTAACACTAGTGATAGAACAGGAAAGCCTGTGCCAGGTAGCATGACCACAGCATTGAGCAGGCTGTGTATGAAATATACCTGCATGAGAATTTGCATTCATGGGGTGGCCATGTGCCTGGCCTGTCTGCATACAAGTCAAGGTATATGTCATAGAACTCAGTCATGAGTATTCCATGCATGGATGGCAGGGGTACATTCATGCTGGGCTTGCAGATGGAGAACCTGCACATGGGCTACATCTGGCCGGGGGAGAAGGCATTGTGGAAAAGTGCAAGGGCACTTAGAGGACCAGAGGTGGAAGAGGTGGTAGGGAATGCAGGGCCAGTGGGGTTGAAGTAGGAGCAGTCAACAGAAATGTTGATGGTTGTGGAGCAATGATGTTGGAGCAAACACCTATGACAGACAGTTTTTGCAAACACAGAAATAGCTCAGGAGATAGGTCTGCAGGAGCAAATTTGAGATTATCTGAGATATACACTTCAATATTAAAGAGAGAATTAAGGTGTCTGCAAAGCTTGCTGAGGTCTGTAAAGGTGACATTAAGCCTTCCAAGATTGAGTGAAGTAAGGTTCTTGAGTGGTGCTGCATTCCACAGAAGTTTTAGGACTGAGCACTCTTTAAGTCCTCTAAGTCAGAACTTCAAAGATTGGAGTGGGACAGACTTGAGGGTAAGTTGCTTGATGAATATTGATACAACACCATGAATGACTTGAATGGATAGGTTAAAGTCTGGAAGTGCAAGGAATACTGCTCAGAGGGAGGGTGACACCAACATGAATATAACCACATACAGAACCCTCAGGTACCATTGTGAATAAATAATGACCAGATGTAGAGTGACAAGGTTTGGAAACAATGAATGGACCTTCAGACTGTGAATATACCTAGTGTAGCTTTTGAACTGTGCCAGCTCATGTTCTGTAAATATCTTCTGGTAAACATTCTGTTTTAGTGAATTGTGAATATATAGCCATGGGCTCATGTTGGGATACTCACCTTTTGTCTATCTGGGGTGAAAAAGTGACAGTATTCAAAAAGGCAGCCTATTGGCTATACACCTTGAACATTTTGCCAGAGGTGGCTAAGGGCTGGGTCATGGAATGTCCAGCTCATTCTAGCAAGCTACTCAATGACTTTATTAGCTTCTGCCACTCCATCCAATTGAACATAAATCACAATCTTCCAGCATATATCAAGCATCCCAAAACCACATTTTGAAGCAGTAGCCATGACCTGTGAGCAACTAGACTGAGTATGTATATTGAAGATGCTGTTTACTGCTAACCTTTTTGGTAGGTTTATTAGCAAGCAGATGATTAAGATGAACTAGCAACTTACTGTAAAATGGAGTTCATAAATGCTTGGACCAAGTAAAGTGGTGTAAGCAAACATAGAGGTTAGGTTAGGTTAACAAATAATGTACACCATGAGTGAGGGAACAAGAAAGTGAGAGGGTAAATAAGGATTATAAGGAGAGCAGGAACAGAGATGATGTTTCTGGGCCATTAATTGATCACAATATATTTTGTATGTATTTTATTCATTTTCACAAATGGTATCTGTTCATACTACTACCTTATATACATAAGGTACAATGAACTCACTCTACTATAATACACTAAGACTACAAGACACACTCCTCAAGTCACACAAACTATAAAAAGACAGCACAAGGGGTAGATCATAAAATAACGGTAGGGTAGTGGGTACCCACAGATGGGGTGTGATGTAAAGAACTCAATTAGATGTGATGTCTATGTAACAACTGGGACTGGGCAGAATGGCCACTAGCAGGAGCACCCACTAAATGTCATAGTATAACAGCCAAGCTTGGACTTGGTTCAGTTGTGCCTGATGCAGGTTATGAGCCATGACATTGATGCTAGAGTAGTCTTCAAATCACACACCATGGTCCTAAATGTAACGATCAAGGAAAATGAGCTACAAGACAACAACAGACAGTTGCACCAATCAGGCCTCAGAGTGTTGCAACTTGAGGTTAAGCAACAGGGGAAAACCTAAAAAGCTAGGCGCGTTCGACTGGGTCTCACCAAATCGATGGTGAGCTTACGCTCAAACCTAAGGCTAGGGACAAGTGAATATATTAGTTAAGTAAAAAAAGGGAATACAACTGGGGGATTACTGACCTAGGGACAAGAGGTCAAGACTGAGGTCCCTAGGGTAGCAAAGGCCAGCTTATATACAGGGGGAGATAAGGGCAGGCTGTGCGCATTGGTCTATGCATAGCTGGTCCATGTGCAGCATGCTGACACGGCCCTGGGGGCTGGTGAGTCAGAGCAGCTGTGTCAGCAGGACCAGAGCTGTGCTATGCACTACCGCCTTATCTAATCTAATTGTACAGTAGATAACGATGTGTCTGTATCAGGTGTATAGTACAGAGATCATGGATTCAAGTCCATGAAAAGGAAAAAATTAAAATGACAGCTAGACGCCGTATCAAGTTATGACACAGAGTGGAGGCTTTTACAGTGCCCTTCGCACTACACATAGAAGTAGCAGCACTGTAGGAGATTGCACACTGATCAAATGATTGAGAACCTGCTTATCAATGGTAAACATGCACCTCAATGTTAATTAGGTATTGGTCAGCACAATCTGCTTCTTGAAATCATAAAATAGCAGAATGTCATATTCACCTAAAAAGACAGGTTGTATGCTGCTTTTGGTAGGGTTTCCACACTTGTTTATGCCTCTTAATGATGAATTGGGTACTATACAGGGGAAGTTTAGGGGAGGCTGTGTGCACTGGTCCGTGCACAGCTGGTCCGTGCGCAGTATGCTGACGTGGCCCCGGGGGCCGGTGAGTCAGAGAGTGGCTATGTCAGTGAAGCCCGAGCTGTGCCGCGCACTGCCACCCATCTAATCTAATCGTACAGTAGATAGCGATGTGTCCATATTAGGCATGTAGTACAAAGGTCGTGGGTTCGAGCCTGCAAAAAGGAAAAATTGAAAAACAGCTAGACGTCATACCAACTCATAACATTACCCCCCCCCCTCAACGACGCATGACCTCATGCGAGGTGCCCTTGCCCATCTCCCACCCGGAGCAGCATCGTGCTTGTCGTAGTACACCTTTTGTCACGAGTTAGTACGGCGTCTAGCCATTTTTTAATTTTTTCCTTTTCGCGGGCTCGAACCCGCGACCTCTGTACTACTTGCCTGATACGGACACATCATATCTACTGTATGATTAGATTAGATGGGGCGGCAGTGCTATCAAAAGGCGATGCAGGGAGCAGTTGCACAGGACTAGCACTGAGGGACTGAATGCCACAAGTGGGGCTGAAGTCGAAGTGGGTCACAAAAGTGTCAATTAAAGGACGCTACAGCAGGTCTTTATATACATGAGCAGGGGAAAGCATTCCCACGGCAGAACAATAGAAGAAAGAACAATAGAGTCCAAAAGGAGAACAAGGGCCACTTGGCCACAGGAACAATGGAACAAAAGAAGTGTGGCCGGAGCTCTGCTCCGGTCCGATTGCTCCGCAATTGATACAACCATGTGGTCACATGGTGTTGTGGCTCCCGCCACCGGGGGATCGTCCTAGGCCGACCAGGGGACTGTGGCAGAGCACATTGTGACATACCCCCCCTGATCTGCCAAGTCCCACAGGGAGACTAGGACACCTCAATTCCCATCCCAGTGCGACAGAATGCGACCTTGGGTGCAGGCAACGGCTTGGTGAGACAGTCTGCAAGCATGTCCGCAGT